ACTCCATGATTCGTCCCAACTCTCTGGACCTTCATTCCATGCATAGTCCCATGACTCATCCCAACTGCCATTCCAAACTTGTGACGTTTCTAGCCAAGATTGGTCTTCCCACCAAGACCCATCATCTTGCCACCACATGTCAGTGCCATCATAGTCATAGTCATTTTCGTATATCCGACTTCATTCATTTTTCCTTTCTTGCCAAAACCCTTGCCTTTACCTTTGCCTTTCTTTCCTTTCTGCTTGCCCTTACCTTTGATCACCTGCTTGTTGTCGCCTTTTCCTTTCTTTCTGCCGGGGCAATTCGCAGAAATGTGTCCGAATTTCTGGCATTTGAAACATTTCAGTTTTGACAAATCAACAACATCACATGCATTTGTTCCATGCTTCGTACTGCCACATGTACCACATTTCACACCGCCTACAGCGTCCAAATTCCAATTCCCATCACCATCACTGGCAGACATGTCATAGTGTGCAGTCGACTCATCAGAGACCTCAGTTCCCAACGCAAGGCTGTGGTACGAAATGCATGATATGATTCACCTCCAGTATGATGCAAACAAAACGTTCTTACTGCATCTGGTAAACTTCGTAGCAACACAGCTACCAAAACAGCTTCAGCTACATGCAACCCTAGCCATCTCGAAATCTATCTTTCTGATTATGTCCGTGACAATGGTACTTGCACTGGTCTCATTACCATGCAGTGCAAAAGATTTCCCAGCTAAGGCTGTCCTGAAACTAAGTGCTTCACTTCGGGTCCTGATGCTGTACTCCAGGGTCAGTTGTCGCACCAACTCAAAGCCATTCGAAGCTTGCAGTTCTGTGTTCACACCAACATCTGCATTGCATAGGTTGATTCCCTCACTGAACGCATTGATTAGCGTCAAAGTTCTCGGATGGTTCCCAAATGCACTCCTCAACATTGCCAACAACCTGCGGCTTCGTGCACGTTGAGCCACATTCAGTTGATTCCAGTGCAATGGGTCTGGCCACCTGCAGGCATGCTCTATCTCACTCCCGAATTCCAAGCTCGCCTGCATAGCCCATGCTGTGAGGTCGTAGATGTAAGCTTGCCATCCCAGGATTTCTGCTTCCCTACTAGTCCACTTTGTGCAGTCTGGGGTTGGGGGTGTCCTACGTATTCCCTAGACGAACCTGGAACATGCATAGGGTCCATACTCTGTGGAAATCCACTGGTGGTCCTTTGCCCAAACATCTCAGGTACACCTCTTGCCTGACCTGTCTGTTCACCTAGAACTTGCCTAACTTGCAACAACTGCATTGGTTCCAAACTTCCCATCAGCCTCAGCACATCTTGCAGTCTTTGGTTCTGGGGTGTTACTCCGCCAATGTCTTGTCCCATGTACATGCCTGTAGCTTGTCCTGACCCTACCTTTCCTTGACCTGCAGCACCTCCGCACTGACCTGACATCCATGGCATTCCACAACATGCACTCCCCTGATTTGGTTCTTGACTTCTGCCTGTGCTAGCTTGGGCATTTTGGCATGCAGTTCCCATGCAACCATGTGCTGGCAACCCTTGTCCTTGCAGACCTTGTCCCATCAGACCTTGTCCTACCTGACCTTGTCCGAACAGACCTTGTCCATGCAAGCCTTGACCTGGCAATCCCTGACATGCATTGCAACCTCCACATCCATGACCTTGCTTGACCTCCAAGATAACCCTGATTTTGACCATAATTTCGAGGGTCCATTAGACCACCTCTCATCGGTCCATAAGATCCAAAAACGTTCTGTGCAGGAGGGAGAATGTGAGTACCACTACCAACTGAGCTTCCGGCAGCAACTATAGTTCTGAGCTGGTGTCTGCATTGCTGTTCCCATTCCTACTGCTGCTTGTTGCACAGTCGCTTGCATCGCAGTACCTGTGGGTGAATTACCTGCAGCACCTGTGTTTCGTTCTGCTCCTGGTTCTCCTCCGCCTTCCATCCTATTCATGATGGGCGATCCTGAGCCTAAGTGCAGTGAATTCATTCCTAGCGCACTAGTCTGGTTACTTGGTCCTTGTCCCTGGCTACTTCCTGGCAACATCGCGTTTAATTACACTACGCGTGGAGCACAACCGCTCCGCTACCATGCGAAAATCCAAACACACCTAATTACAACCACTAGTCGCTTGCGAACGCAACGTTGGGGTCGGCCTCCGCCACGTCGAGTGTCTAAACACAAAACCCAAACAAAGAAACAACGACTTGCGCCAGTCGCTCGACTCTTTTCCACACAGGAAAACGAAACGACAAAGTTGTCTGTTTGACATGCAACATGCAGAGCCTGCATGCTGCCTCTCTGATTCTGGAGGTTACTTCATCTTAACTAGTTAGTTTTTTGGTGGGTTGGAATTTTGCTCAGTTTAAGTTTGGCGTTGCTGGTTGTGGCAGGGTGTCTCCAGTTTTTCAAATAGTAAGGTGAAGAACCAGTGTTGCCCCGAAAGAGAAAACATGGTGTTGATGTTGAAGGTGAACCAGTTGATGATAATGTGGAGGACAAGTTGAAGAAGCCTTGTCTTTGCAAATCCCAAAGCCGTAAGCGAGATCGAGTTTCTTGTTTTGAACCTTTTCGAACAAATCCTTTGCTTCAGCAACTGAAAGCGTGGCGGTCCAGTTTCCGGGAGTTGCACAAGTTAGACCAAGACCGATATGTTTCTCAGTTTTGCTTCAAATGTTTTTCTTAAATGATTGTCCCCTTGGAAAAGGGTCTACGGTGCACCAAGTATCCAATAGCTCATACTGCTAACACAGGGTCTTTGTTTTGATTTTTCTTGAAAGGGAGTATACTTTAATGCTGTTCTCTATATATATATACATATATATATATCTTTATGTATGTAAGAATATGTTACATAATATATCTATATATAAGGATATATGCATCTATATCTATATCCATGTCTATCCAATGGGAATTTCATGACTTCTATTTTCTACCTTCCCCTCAACTCAGTTGTTCGACAACTTGCGGGAGCTTGCAGTATCTCAGGGAATTATTCAGCCTGGTGGTGGTGGTGAAACTACTGTTAGTAGTGATTCCAAAATGCAATATTTTTTTTTGAACAGACCTGTGTGCAGAGCCGCCTATGCAACTTTGATGGGGGTATCATGGTCACCCAGACTTGGGAATCTTTTGAAAGCAGTACTTAGACTGGAAAGGACAGCACCCATGGATTCTCGCTACATGGAAAGACCTCATGCGGATCCCAAACCTGTGTACTCTGAAGTTTGGTCATACTTGCAATCCCTTTATGACAGTGTCGCTGAAACACTGCCCTTGGATGAAAAGAGTACCAAGAAATCCAAATCTGGTGATGTTTGGAGTGAAGATGAAGATTCTTATCGATGTACCCCATCACAATCGTCAAAGATCCCTGGGCAAGAGGTAGAGGTTCGTTACCTGCCTCCTGGAACTATTTTTGACCTTTGGCGCCAATATTGTTCAACAACTGGTCAAAAGTGCTCATGGCAATGCTTTCACAGCTGTTTTCGAAATGATTTTTCTCACAAACTTTCTTTTAGAGATCGCTACCTCTTCAGCGTGTGCCCTGTCTGTGTACAACACAAACTGTTGATCAAACACCTATCAGCTGATTTGAACCGACGCATTCGCCAAAGAGCGCTCTATGACAGACATTTGGCCTCGCAGCTGATGGATCGCAAGATCTATTGGGCGCTGAGAGCGTCCAGCAGGTTGCAGCAGAAGCAACTCTGCTGCATAATTGATGGGATGGACCAAGGAAAGTATGCGACACCACGAAGTCGCATTTTCGACAGCCATCATTTCGACAAATATCAAAGACCAAGACTCCATGTTTGGGGACTTCTCTGTCATGGCTATGTAGCCTGGCTATCAGTATCAGATGCTGACTGTTCCAAGGGTGGTTCGACGACATGTGAGTTGCTACTCCACCTACTTACAGTGTTGGCCAATCATGGGGTTCAGCTGCATGATTGCACATTGACTGTACAACTGGACAATACAGGTTCATCCAACAAGAACAACATTGTCATGGCCATGTGTGGCCTGCTCGTGCAAAAGCGCCTTGTCGGAGAAATCCGGCTGGCGTTTTTGCGAGTAGGACACACTCATGAGGATCCTGAAATCAATTTGTCATGATTTTCTATTTGGGCAAACTTTTCTTGGGATTCCAAGTAAACGATGCTGAAACTTTTCCAACTCAATTCAAAACCATGAGGATGTGGATCAGTGGTTTGGAGCATTGAGTCGAGCCATGGATTCATTAGCAATAGGTTTCTTCAACACCACTTTCAATTTTGAAGAGGGAAAAACATATAAAACATAAAAACACATACTTTCTAACAAGATACATAGAAATTGGGGGTCTTTGAAACTGAATGAGGATTTGTGAAGAACAAAGTCGCAGTGGCGGAGTCTCCAGCAAAACTGATCGATGTCATCAATGCCAAATTTCTTTCTCAACCGGAAAACCGACCACATGAAGCACTGAAGTCTTGTTTCAAGATGGATTACATCAGAGATTGGAAATCGTGGCTGGCGAAGTGTGGAAAGAAAGTTGTTGGTATCTTTGGGCCATCAGCGCCCCATTGGTTCGAGTTTCGACAGCGAAATAGTTGTTTGGCTGATTAAAGAAACCATATTATTTGTACGATTGATACATCATTTTTTTTGTTGGGGCTATTGTGGAATCAAAAAAATAGAAACATACATCTTCATCTTCAAACTTAGAAACTTAGAATCATGGAACTTTACAAGGAATGTGTCATGGCTCTCTTGGCCCAAGGTTTGTCCCTTGGCGATCCACTTCGAACTGCTGGCGGTGAAACTGACGCAGTCCTATTGCATCTTGGCGGATTGTGCTTGCTGCTTCAAACACCCAAATGTGATTGGAGATTAAATTGATTTGTTATATACATAAGAACCAATGTGATTTACATATATATATAAGAACAAATTGGTTGGGTGGGTGGACTTCACAAACTGGTTGCAGGTGCAAACAGTGGATGAGTGATTCGACCTACTCAACTCGCATTACCTACCTCACTGCTGATGATATTGCGAGACTTCCTGGGTCAATGCCATCAGGCCTGTCATGTCAGAAATGTTTTTTCTTTTGGTGGTACAAAATTATCACTGATGTAGAATCATGTTTGTATGATGAATGTCTACTAATGATGGGAGTCATGCATCTAAAATCTTGTTGCCCTCCTAAAGGTTTCCTTCCTCGACGTCCCAAAGAGCGGAAGTACCAAACGATGATCTTGAACCTAGCTGATGCAGTTGAGCCCAGCCCTTTCTTCTTGACAACAGCTGCTTCATACTTGCGAGATTGGGTGACTGAATCAGCGATTCTTGTTCCTCCTTTGGATGTTTCGATTCTCACTACATCCTCAAGACCAGCGCTTCAAGTTCAACCAGTGGGAAATACTGTTCAAGTGGCTGCTTTGGAGCCCGGTGTTAGCAATGTTAGGATTGAGAGGGGGAACCCTGGTGGACCCCAAGAATTGGTTGCCAACCCTCGAATGGATGTGATTTGTGGGATTGCCAAAACTCTTCAAAAAGAAGGGGTTACGTGGACAGATGCAATCAATAAGGGCTATGAATTGTGGGACAAATTGAACCCCAATGTCATGGCGGCCTTAAATCAAAATTCTCTTCAAGGCATTGTTGCAGCAGGGGCTGCTGCTGAAAGCACTAGTTCCCCAGATCCCCCTGTGGTTGAAGACCTGGAGGATGATGCATCAGTGCCACTTCAACCAGAGTTTGATGACGTTGACCGCTAAGCGAGTGAAAGAGTGACATGTTTTTTTCCAAACAGTTTTCCGGCATCTACTAGAGTTACTAGACGATGTAGTGATCCAGAAACTTCTCAGCAAGGCCGGGTTTCAGGTGTTGATGATCTCCACATCAACCTGTCGGGCAGTCTCATCCATGATCCCTCAACAAAGAAGGTTTTTTTGACCAAAAATTGAAACAACATGTCACCAAATGATACATGGTTTGATTGGCAAATTTAGCGACTCAAGCCAGTGGAGCCACAAGTAGGACCGACTTTCTTTAGAGTTGGCAACATGTTTGAGGACAGCCAGCCCATCCTGGATAGTCAGCCGCAACTGAGTGACAGTGACACTGGGGCATCTCCACCCCACAAAAAACAGTGTGCTGGTTTGGACCGAAAGTTTTCTTTCTTGGAGACTGCAAAGTCTATCCTGATTCAGAATCTTAGTGACAGCGAATGTGAGGATGAACCATGGGAAGTTGAGATTGAACCGAAGGATCCTATCACTGCTTGTAAGGAACCCTTCCTTGACCATGTCCAGCGTGACCGGGCCTTCAGGATGGCAGAGATCTTCTCAGGCAGTGGCATCCTTGCCGAGGAGATGAGCACTTTGGGTTTTGTCACCATGTCTGTCGACTACATTACTGGAGGGGCTGCCCATGATATCAGCAACAAAGAGACCGTTACTCAACATATGCTTGGTGTGATCTTTATATTATATGATAAATTTTGATAGGGGACCCAATAAGGAACCACCATCTTAGGGTGATCTTTTGTTGTTAAGCAAATCCAAATGGGAAACAGTTTTGCCAAACTCAGAGAATCAAGCATTGATTGCTGGGGCCTACTCAAGTGAGCGCCTTAGGCTATCAAGATTGCCAACGAGATTGTGCAGGAAAAGGTCCACTACGTGCATTTTGCCCCGCCCTGCCACACGTTTTCCCAGGCGAGGTATCCTCGACTCAGGACTGCCAACTTTGCCCCCTTTTCTTTATAGCTTTTAAACCAAAATCGGGTCAAAAAGGGTGTGTTTTGTCAAGAAATTATATCATTTTCTAGTAGCCCATGAAAAATCAGGAGCAAATGGCACCCAGAGGGCATTCCTGGCATGGAGTGCGATGTCTTGACTGTTTCCAACAACATCATCAAAAACATGGTGAAGATGGCCCAGATCTTTTCTGACAATCGCATCCTCGTCTCAATCGAGAACCCCCGAACATCGGTCCTGTGGTACTTCCCAGACCTCATCGACATGGTTGAGGCCCACATATAGAAACAAATCAATCTGATATGAATATATATATATAAAGTATATTAATTACACACATATACTCATTAATATCATTTACTATCTATTAATGCATCATATAATATGTATGCTGTATTGGCTCCAGGAATCTGTACACTTGAAATTCAAAAGCAGCTGTAAGTTGTGGCGAACAAACACAACCTGAGTCATCCTTTTTCAAAAAACCAGGAATTATATCATTAATGTTTTTGATTGTTTTTGGACAGATGATTGCAATTAGATGCATACATAGTAGCAGTGATGTATCAAACCCCACAATGAATTGGACAACCTGTAAGGCCAGTAAGGGCACAGAGAAGTGGAACATTGTGGATGTGGACTACTGCATGTTTGGCGCCGAGTACAAGAAGCGAACTCGCATCCTTACCCTCCAATGGTTTGACTACGAGATCGAAGGTGGCTCTGTGTTGGCCAGATTGGGATTGAAATGTGATGGTGAACACAACCATGTTGTACTTTCTGGGTGGGGTAAGCCCGGCCAAAAATCTAGGCCAACCAAGGGCACTGCCAAGTACCCAGTTCAATTGGCTCGCACATGGGCCCGTTACATGGGTGAGCACATCATCCGGGCAACCTAAGCCCAGCCAAGTCGCAAATCCAAAGATGATCACAAAGGTCATCAGAAGTCCAGCCAGTTCATCATCGAACGTACTTGATCGACAATCCTTAGATATGATAGAACTTCACACATTGTTGGACCATGGTGGAAAAGTGGTTGGCAATTTTGATAGATGTTGATTGCGCCTATGTGTCAACGCCCCAAAAAAGAAAAACTAGATAGAACTAGTATTTTTTGTTGCTGTGGTATTTCTCCCTTAGGGGTTTGGACACTGCTGGTGCAAGTTTACCTTGCTGGAGCGACAGAACCCTTTTGGCCAAGATGGCATTGAAATCATATCTCCAAACTCCCTTATTGAATCCATTGCCATCTCCAACATTTTTGTTTATTATCATAGTTTGTTGCTTTTTTCAAAACTGCCAGGGGTTCAATGGAAACATGTGCGAATCCATGGCCCATTATCAATGGGGCCAACCGAGAAAGCTGCTTGTGGGACACCTCGGATTTACCATTGTAGCACATAGACAAGAGATATCATGTTGGATATTACAGTTTCTTTCAATCAATTTTGTTTTTTGAGGTGAGCCCAATTCGAGCCATTACAGTAGTGGATTGCACGTCCGAAATCAAATGCGAAACTAGTTGCCAGCTTCCACCTTCACCCACCAAAAATGTGGTCTATTCCCAAAGCTATTCTTGGTTTCATTTTGGTGATTGTTTTTTGGGATTATGATACTGATAATATTTATGGGTTGCTCGGAAAATCAACACCACCAAAATGCACTACTCGGAAAAAACATATCCCAACCCATCAAATTCTTAAGATTTTAGCATGGCCATCCAAATCACATTTTCTGAGGAAGTTAGACTAGGTTCCTCGGAAAATCCATGTTCTCCCTGAAGCCCTCCAAAATCAGCATGATGTTGCTTCATGCTTTTTCTGATGAGCCCCAAGGCCAACAATATCAGTTTCTGAGGAAGTCGGTCTAGGTTCATCGGAAAATTTGGTTTGCAGCCAACCTTTGATATCTTAAGAAACTGAAAGGATTGCCAAATGATTTTCTGAGCGCTACTCGGAAAAGAACCAATTCCATTTCAGCTTCACTCGGAAAGTGAGTAGCATTTTATTTCAAAATTGCAGACCTGGAGCGAAAAGCGCCTTCCAACCATGGGCAAAAGACCCAGCAATGGATCCAATTCCTCGGCAAAGGCTCCCAAGAAGGGCAAAGCTGATGAGCTATGTGATGCTGTGGAACAGCACAAGGATGTGATAGCTACCATGCCGTTTTGGGATGCGTTGGTGAGCCATATGAACTCCATGTTTTCCAACTTCGGTTCAGTGCATGAGTACTTCATGCAGACTTATCCCACTTTTGATGACCGCACGAAGTTGGCCCACAAGTTGATGGAGAACTTTCCGGAGTTGGAGCCCCTTTCAACTGCTGACTGGAGTGTTGGGGTGAAAGACATTGCGCTGTGGCAGTTGTGCTATCATGTTGAAGCCGGCAACAAGGGCCTAGTCATCCAGGAATCCATGAAGAACTTGGTGATGCTAATTTTGCTACAAGGCCCACGAACCAATCCCCAGACCCAGGCTGGAACAGAGTACTTGGTGATCCAACCTCTTATCCAATGCTATTTCTTGGAGCCTTGGCAGAGTGCAACCATCCAAGATGATACCTTTCAAAGCCAATCCATCGCTTTCACGAAGGGATGGACACGTGCTGTTGCAGCGCTGTATGCAGCTGAGCTTCTCATTGAGTTCGACCTCATCAACTACTACAAGAACAACCGGAGTGCGAGCTATCAGAACTTCTGCAACATTAAGGGGATGGTGACTGCAGAGTATGCCAATGAGCTAGATCGCATCAATGCGAACCGTGGCACCTTGGTTTTTAAATGAGTGGAAATAGGTCCTTATTTCCCTTTGTGAAAACCCCCCCAACCTTAAAACATGAATTATATATAGTGTTCCTGGTCCTCTTCAAACAGACTTTCTTCTGAGAACAGTTTTTGATTACGATGTGCTTCAAGATTGTGCTACTAAGATCTCACTATGGGCTCTGTGATGACAAGGGCAAAGCCAAACTGTTTCAACGCTCTTCATCAACTTGGCCGGCGTTTGAAGCATGGGGAAAAACTGAGCTCTCTGGTTGGCAACTTTGACAGTGGGAAGTACCCCAAGAGTGTCTTCGGCATGGGTCCTTCAGAGTCTGCTGCTGTCATCAACTTGGTTCATCACCTTCCTTTGGAATGTCGGCAAGTCTTGGGCAATGCAGTGGCTGAGTTTGGCATTGCAAAAGGCCCCGTGACCCATGCAGCCATTGGCTCACCGAACCTTCGAGTTGGATTCCAGCCTGAGCTGATCTCTGATGATTGGAGCCTCAACATGCGAAACTCTGAGGACTCAGTGGTCAGGACTTGCAAGAGGCTAGTTTCTGACTTCAAGCAAGCTCCACCTGGCCTCCGGAAGTCTGCAACAGCACCTGATGTTGCAAGAATGGCTCGCATCTGCAGAGCTTTTGATTTGCTGATGTCGGAGTTGGCTACCCAGCTTCCAGGTGCTTCCTTTGATGCTGAGAAGCCTGGTGTGGTTGCCTTGTTCGAGAAGCGGGTCTTTGATGACTACCTTTACTCTTTGAGCGAGGAGTGCCCTGCCCAGCTGGACTTGTCCAAAGTTTCTGAGCTGTCTGCAATCCTTTCCAAGCACAAAGCATCGGTGGAGAAGGTTGGGTGTTCCCTTTTTTTTTGAACCTGTGGATAAACCACATCAAAGAAACAACAAAAGATTTTCAATAGTGGATATCAACTTCTCTTGGTTTGCAAGTTTGATTTCAAAAAAATGATACATATCATGTTGTTATTCTGGCCCTTTCAGGCTGCTTTGGCAAAGTCCAAAGCTCTACATCTCCAAGTTCAAACGGCCACCTTCCAGAAGATGGCTGCAGATTTGGAGGATGACATCGAAGCCTTGAAGGTTTGGACTGAAACTGAGTCAAGGAGGAAAGCCAGTTGGCAAGGCATGGTTTTGACCCACATCCGCAAGAGGTATGTTCGTGGTTTGGAGCGTGTTCGGGAGTTCTGTGAGGAGTCCATTCGAGTCCGAAATAGCCCCCTCAGTGGCGCTGAGATGGAACTGGCAGCCTTCAGATCCAACATGGAAGCTGGATCTTCTTTGAGATGCCAAGCTGATTCGAGGCAGGGCTAAAAGATCAATCAAAGAATTCAAAATCTCTGTTGCCCTTATTCTTTCAATGAGATTTTCAATACCACCCTTTGAAAGAACTATGCTGAGGTTTCCTAAACCTCTTAAGGAAACCTTTCCGGAACCAATTTTGAAATCATTCCTTCCTTGCTGGAAGGTTCATGCTGATGGTGCTCGACATGAGTGTGCCTCCCAACATGGCCGACATTGATGCCTTGATCCACTCTTGCTCCAATATCCTCCATCAATCCGGCCAGAATGCTCTCCTGGTTCTTCTTCCACAGAAGTACAGTGGGCAGAGTGTCAAGTCCAACTTGGCAGCCACCCACAGGATTGAGGATGCTCTTCTTGGAAGTGGACTCAACATGGAGACTGACATTGCTGTCCACTTTGCAGTGGACCAAATGCATGGAAATGACAAGAGGCCTTTGGGTGCAAGGTGCCGGCTTTGTGTCAGCGACCATGTTCCTGAAAGCAACAGCCCTTGGCTGAGCAGTTTGGCTGCACGTGGCAAGCTGTCTGAAGTGCCTCTCATGCGCATCAAGGAGATGAAGCGCCTGACTCCACCGAACCATGTTGGTGATGCCATTGAAGCTTACAACTTGTCACCAGCAGAGCGTTGTCAGCAAAAGGGTGTCAAGGCTGCCTGCAAGATCATTGAAAGCTTGGTGGGTGGCACACCAATTGCTTCGCCTGATGCCCGACTGGACATTGTGGAGTTCAACCTTCAGGCTGTTCCCGATTGGATCGAGGCTTCTTGGTCTTTGAAGTCCACATGGGAGACTGACTCTGCAAAGCCTCGCATTGCTTACTTTGGCATCAGCAGGGAGCCTTCTGTTCAGAAGGCATTGACTGGCCACATGGAAGCCATTCTGATGTCTGAGTGGTGGGAGTCACACACAGATGCTGGGCCCAAGGAGCCAGAGAGCAGCGCCCCGGTCGACAAACCAGTGCTGGCCATTACCTCATGGGATGCTGATGCCCCATCCCTGTCTGATGTTGTGGTTTGCAAATTTGATGGTGATGAGTCGTATGGTGAGAAATGGGCTGGGAAAGTGGCCTCATTCCGGGACTTTGTGAACACCACCGTCACCCCAGTGATTCGCAGGAATGCAGGCGATGCTGATGGAGCAGGCTGCAATGCTCCTTCTGGTGATGGGCCTGACATGAGTGTGGGCGATCAACCTGTGGCTGTTGTTGATGCTGTGTTGCCGGCCACGGCGAAGGCTGATTTCAAGTCTGCTGATGTGTGCCTGGATTTATTTCATTTTGATGCTCCAGTCCCTTTTCAACTTGTTTTTTGATTTTAGGGCTCAAATGTCTTAAACCGGTTTTGCAAACAGTTTTTTCAAAAAAGATGTTTGCATTTTGCAGTCAGGCTCTTCACTGTCAAGCCAGTGCGACACCTTCCAGCAGTTCACATCACTAAGAACTATGACATCTACCTGTCCCTGGATGAATCCATCCACAAAGCTGCAAGTCTCCAGCTGGAGCCTTTGGAGCTGCTTGGGTTCAATGTTGGGGAAGTTGTGCCATCTGAAGGCATGGGGTGGTCTAAACTAGGAAGCACTGAGCCTAAACACCTAAACTTTTAGAACAAGAAGTCGCTGCCGACCCAACCTAGCACATACTTGTGTTCCATCCTATTTGATCCCTTGTAAATACCAGTCCCAACCAGGTGGAGACCCGAACCATGTCATCTTCTGGCAGTACCACAATGATGTGCAATTGGTGGTGGTGGTGGATTCGGCTGCCAGCTCGAAGTCCACCATGACTTTGGCCGAGGCGCGATTCAAGGCGATGCAGTCGCATTCGATTCCTGACCTTGGAGTTCAAGGCCATGTGGTGGAGCCCTTGAAAGTCGACAAGGACTTGCGTTATCAAACAAAGTATGTTTTTATTTCACCAACAAATCATCAATGTGTCCCAAAATAACCCAATCATATTTTAGCCCTGGGCTTGATATTTAAGTAATTTTAAGTACTTATATCTTTACTTATGTTTATATACTTTATATGTATATATCTTTACTTATGTTTGTATCTTTACATATCTTTACTTATGTTTATGGGCTTGTCTTACTTATGTATTTGTTTTTCTGTTTTGAAACCCCCCCAAGACATGGATGAAACACGTTGCACTGAAGGATGGCAGTGGTACCATGGTTGAGGCCTTCATGCGATGCAAAGTTCAACCCAATCTGAGAGGTGGGAAGATTCATTTTGCCCCGACAGCCCTTACTGATGCTCAAATGGCTGAAGGGTCATTGAAACGAGCTGCGTCTGGTGCCTGTTTTTTGGGGCGTATGAGCAAGCTCAATGGCTTGACCCATGCAAAGATTTTGTGGGATGTTCAAATGCAAATTGAACCCCCGGCGTGTTTGAAAGCATTGAAACCAAAACTCCATTTGGTCTCCCGAGTGAAACTGGAGAAAGACTTCTTTTACAAGTTGCAGTGATAGGGGTGTTCCCTGGTGCCCAATTTTGATCAACAAATGTTCAATAACATGAATTCTTGTTAAATTTTGTGATTGAGTATTGTTTCCATTTTTCCCAAGATCTTATCTTCAACAGTGTTGTCCATTGATTTCAGGGTTCGCCCACCATTGCAGCGATTCCCCATAGTTGCCAAGTGGCACATCTGGCGTGAGAACACGCGTTGGCTCTGATGGCCTTCAGATTCAGCAGTTGGGATCCCACTCTGTTGCCAGTGGGAGGGATTGATTGAAGGCTTTGGTGGCAGTGAAAAACATTATACACTTGGGGGTTTGATAATCGGGCTTGAGATGTGAAAACACTTGGGGGTTTGATGATTCCATTTGCTTCGCTACACTCTGTCAACGTTTTTGGCGCCATGCTACTCTTTTGGCAGTCAACAAATCACCAAACGAGGAAAATATTGGCTCAAATTTGATTAGAAAGTGTTTTTGTAGTGCTGGCAATGTACAACACTGTCAATACTTTGTCGGATAGTGATGGGGAAAAGGATCCTGTGCCACCATCGCAACCAAGACTACCAGAAACCAAAGTTGAACCCAAGCCGACTCCGAAGGTGAAGATCCCGAAGCAGAAAGGGGAACCGAAACCCAAACCCAGTGCCTAAACTAATTCATATCTTTCATATCATCCATATCTTTTCATATTTTTCCAAAGCTGACCAGCGTGATGTTAGGGTCATGGTAAATATCCACCCTTGACTTTATTCTCCATCAAACCCCCAAACATGTATAATAAATCATGGTTCCCTTCCATCAGCTTTTTAAGGTGGGAGTGGTGCTGCTGCCCCAGCAAGTGTTGAGAGCTGCGTCAAGAAGCCTGCGACCAAGATGCTCAAACGCCCAGCAGCAGCAATGGCAGGTGGCGAAACCTTTGGCGAAGGTTTGGCTGAGAACCCGGTTGAGAATGAGAAGGAGAAGGAGGGGCCCCGCTACTGGGCCAAGCCAGTCAAGTCCCGAGATTCTTCAGCAGTTCGAGGTCCAGACAAAGATGGAAAGGAACACCAAGTTTGCCAGGTGGGGTTTTACACAATAAAAGAATCATCTCCAATCCAATGTTCTCAATCGGACCCAAAATGTTACCAATCAAATCAAATCCAATCCAATGGTTCCCAATCCAATTCAAATTGATCCAATGGTTCCCAATCCACTCCAATTCCATCTAACGGTTCCCAATCCAATCAAAACTAATGAGTTCCAAACATCCAATCAGGTTGCAGTGAAGGGTGCACAGTTTGAAGAGAACCACGACATCGCTATGACTTTGGCTCGTATGATGAATGATGGCAAACCCTTTGCTGACATGATGCATTGCCGTGACATGATGCTGAAAGAGTTGAAGGATAAAGTCCTTTCCAGAAATTCGAAATAGGAGCGTAGCACCATCCCTTTACACTTGAAGGATAAAACAGTTTGGATTTTGGACCCACCAAACTTGCACCGGCCAAGTCACTCCAGGAAAAAAAAACCAGTGCATTCCAGCCAGTGCGTCCATGGCGTATTGCAAGGAAGCATGTCTGTGTGAAATCTGAAAAGTATATATCTAATTTTCAAGGTTCTAAAATTTAGATAGTCTATACTTTTTGAACCCTGTGAAGATTCTGAAGTCTATTTTGTTTATCATGTTAGACTGCTCCTTCAGCCACCCTCGCAGGTGGATATGGATGCCATCTTCGTGTGGGCACTTGAATCAAGGGGCCACCAATCTTACATCGAAAACAAAATCCTGGCAAAATCAATAACAGTATATTATATGTAACCTGATAGGTTCTGATCATAACAGTATATTATATGTAACCTGATAGGTTCTGATCATTTCCCAGGATGTTCCATTTTAACGTTGACATCAAAGCTTGGGTGGCTAATCGGGAAAGCAAACATCAAAGCTTGTTTGTATTCCAATGTCTTTCGAAAATCCAAAATATGAAACTTGTCAGTTTTCCACTGACCCATTGGAATCTCAAACATCGGTTTGGTTTGGTTGTTTGTCAACATCTTTGGGTTGGAAGTGCTGGCCCCACAAAACAAACCAAGAAGAATAGACTCTAGACTCTGGATTTTTTATAGGACTCCCATAGCGCCAAACTATCATTTGTTCTTATATATAAATATATATGTATATATAGGATATATATATATATACATATATTTGTTAGTGGAAATTACGCATATGGCAACATAATACATGCAACCATTTTATACATAATAAACATACATAAGAATGTAACTCAGGAAGTTTCCTTCTTTACTTCGATTTGGCTCAAGTGTCACAAGTCAAGTATGGCTGCCCACAGTTTTGCAGGTTGTGTTGTGCGCAGTTTTGTGACACCAATTGCTCACTTACCTCTAAAGCAAAAGTAGGCCAGTTTGCCTTGAGGTTTGCACACTTATAGTCTGCAGCAAGTGGCTGCGCGCATGATGTCATGGCTGGGATGCATATGCAGTAACAGCCAAAGATTGAACCAAAACCAAATAAATATTGAACCACAAAGGCTTTCGTTTAAACAAAAACAAGAAACGCCACAAACACCAGGGGCCAATTCAGCGGGTGCGAGAAGCAACAAAGCTCAATGCAGAAACCAGGGATCCCCCCAGCCAGGATCCCCGAGATCACAAAGAGCAGCCTTCACGGCATGACATTCACCCTGACACTTTGAAGCAAACACCGACAACGCCGGGTCGCAACGAAAGTGGTGAGAAGAACTAACGCAGTGAAACTGGAGAGTGAAACATGGTCTAATGTGAGAATGAAAGCAAGACGCGCTTGGGTTACTTCGTAGCTGGCCGAGATTGTGCAACCATCTAATATGCAGCCAATTTGGCGGAGCTGGCGTATAGCAGCTTCCAGGTCAGCAAGCCTTTGGGATGGGATATTCTGGATTTTTTTTCCGTCCAACGCCGTATGGCTTCCGCCAGGTCGTTCAACATGTTTCCAAGCATGTTGCATATGGGATTAATTAATTAATTAACGCAGGGGCCGAAGCTGTAGTGGCCGCAAAAGTAAACTGGTAGAGGACCGATACATAGTCCTATTCCCTTGTCACGTTCCAAAGAACAAGAACCGAAACACAAAGAACCAAAAGCAAAAACAACACAAAAAACAAACACAAGCAAAAACAAACCAAACAAAACACAAACAAGAAACACACAAACACACAGCAGTGACGTGACAGGTCCAGTTATAGGTGAGAAAGATCTGTTGAGACAAGAGGTGATGCTTAGTATCATCTCGGCGCATGCAGATGACAACTTATGTGTCATGTTGCAGGCCCATAACACAAGATAACAACGGAAAAACCACAAACACACCATGGGCCACTTGAAGGGTGCAGGAAGCAACAAAGCTCAATGCGGAAACCAGGGATCCCCCCAGCCAGGATCCTCAAGATCACAAAGAGCAGCCTTTACGGCATGACATTCACCCTGACACTTTGCAGCAAACACCGACAAAGCCGGGTCACAACAAAGTGGTGAGAAAAACTACCGCAGCGAAACAGGAGAGTGAAACATGATCTAAGGTGAAAATGACATCGAGGCTACAGCACTCAGGGCACACTCAGAGTCCGCTCAGAACTGCTTTTCCAATCTTCATGCTGCATCAAAATTGGTTCCGGTAGGCACCATTGTGCTAGTGCTCTTGCAACTCGTCTTCATGGTGTGGGAGATTGTACTCGTCATCAGTGCGTGGTGATATCTGTGCATTGAGTTCTTCAGACGACGTGCTGGCTCGCTCAACCAATTTTTCGACCGGCCAATGATCTTCACCACACCTCAACTGACCCTCTGCCAGGTCACTACCAGTGAAGTCGATGATGCCACCAAACTTCTAGAGAAGGCCCGACAGAAGCTTCAAGGAATCCAAAACATCCCATCCCAGAGGGTTGTTGACCTTGAGGCGGCTATACGCCAACTCCGTCAAATTGGCTGTATCTTGGATAGCTGTACCATATCTGCCAGTTACGAAGTAACCCAGGCACAGAAAGCCACACTACAGCTTTACCATACAGCCAAGGAAGGTCAAACGGGGACAGGCACTATGGCTAGATGTACTTTGACATCGCACTACACTACCATGCAATAATTAAGATAGAACAACACGAACAAAACAACTTAAAAACCCTGAAAAGGATCATTTATACCCGCTCCCCACCGCCTCCCGTCCCATACTGGCTCCGGCATGCTGACAGCAAAGGTGGTCGCAGCGGGCAGTAATTAACCACAACCTAGGTCAAGTTACAGGCTGAAGGCATGGATGGGAAACTTGGGTACTCTGCGTCACCTCAAGTGGCTTACTGGAACTGCTCGTGTGAGGTGGTGCAAGGTTAAGTATGTGGAACCGAAACCAGGCTATACACTGGAGCAGCTATGGGCTGACTCCGAACCTGCCATCAGCAAGAAAACAACCACGTCATATGATGTGCACACAAATGACGTCCAACGTGCCGTAGCGGCCATTCAGCGTTTTCCATCCCCCATTCCTTCCGATAGTCCCTTCCTACGAGCGTTGGGGACAACAGCTGCCCTAAAAGCCCCACCGCAGACTGACACCCTAGCGCAAAGAGCTCTGGAGGAATGGGAACGCACTTTGTGTGAAAACAAGGCAGTGGCAATCCTCGCCGAGATACAAGCCGGCCGACCAACTATAATCCACAAAGATGGTGGCGAAATGCATTGCCATTGTCCTCGACAGGCCACTGGCAGAAGCGAAGGAACTGGTTGATGACCCTGCGGCATTCACTCGCGAAATGACCCGGATCCTGCGTGACAAGCAAACCCACCCACTCATCGCCCAAATGATGAAACCGGCGGAGAGCAGTGATCCACCCCCCGCCACTGCTGCAGCCAGTGGTGCTAGTAGCAGTGGAGTCGGTTCCACACAGCATGATGGGACCATTGAGGCGCGTCATGGTTGATTTCCACTGAATCCCTTTTCATGTCATATTCTTTGAGCATATCATCCAATTCTTGTAAGCTAGCAGCTCTGTGAATACAACATTGTCTGACAGCGCCATCGATGTGGAGTGGCCATCCCACAGGCATGCCCAACATGGGGACATCAATAGTTACTTTGAGGCTGACTTGAGCACGTTTGCACTTCCATGTGTCAGGTGCTAAAAGGCCTCTGCCAGCCAAGAGCTCGAGCGAAGGGAATTGTGGTTGGTCATTCGCTGGTAACACCTCTTCTTTGATGACTAACTTTAGCCCATGTTGTGGCTGGGGTTGCTCCTTTTGAGGGTCTTGAGGTGATTGAGATGTAGTGTCCTTGGGTGTTGTGTCTTCAAACCAGGTGGGACGGACTGACTGGACTCCTATGGGACTTGCAGAACTGGCGGTTTTAATGCTTTCTCTGCGCAGGCTATGGTAGACGGGCGGGATCATCCATGCCGGCACAAAGACTGTGATAAACTAGACATTCCAAATGACCTGCAAATTCTGCTGCTTGACTTCAGGCGTGACACATCTTACCTGACCATCGATTACTCTGGTGTATGATTCAGAGCGGTCGAAGGATGCTGTGACTTTCAGGCCTAGTAATTATAGCTCTCTGAACCAGTATTCCTTGAGCATCATAAAGGAAAGGTGAGGTGCCCTCACTTCCAATACGTGCGAGGCTGGCATTAGAAGAGTGACCATCCATTCAGCTAAGAATTCAATCATTTTGACTTCGAGTTTGGGGAGGATGGCTTGAACTGCTCGTAGTGCACCCGCGATATCCGGGACATGCCTACGTGAGGGCAATCCAACTGTTCGCTTGGCATACTCGTCAGGAAAGTAAAGTCTGCACAACTTTGGGATGGGATATTCTGGATGCCTTGAAGCTTTTGAGATGCCTTATTCAACAGGTTTGTGGCAGCTTCTACTTCACTGGTAGTGACTTGGCACAGGGTCAATTGAGTAATTGACTTTGCAAGGCGATGGACAGCGGCGTCTTTGTTAGAAGTCTGACGATCCATACTGCAAGATCAACTCGCACGCAAGGTATTCTGCAATCTGCGGGCCGCTAGGCGCTCTGCTCATCAATGGTAGTGCTGCAACCTTGTCGAGGAAAGACATAAGGACGTCCGGTGGAAGTCATCTGGCCGGGGGATTGGTGTGTTGTTGAACGAAGGTCAAACGGCAACGGGCACCATGGCTTGATGTACTTTGACATCGTACTACGCTACCCTAAAACACACTACATTAAGTAAGGCCCCCTAGAAAGGATATTATAATCCCCCCCACCTCCTCACTTCCCTTTTGACACCGGCAAGCTTACCACAGGATTAGCTGCAATGGGTAGTCCATGGGTACCCCATGGTGACAGAACTTCAGAACCACGGTCTTAAAAATGGCTAATATCATGCCAACCGTGGGTACCCCACGTTAGCTCTA